GAGAGAGAGAGAGAGAGAGAGATATTAATGAATAGAAGAGGAAGTTATACGTTAGATCTCTCTATAGATCTAGTACCGTACAAGTAATATAATTATTATTGTGCAATATTTTCCTAACTTAGTTATTTTAATATGATATTGCCCTATATTCTTGTCCAGTGTGTAAACTACGTCGATTGTCCTTAGAATCGAAGATCGATCTGAATTGAAGTTGAAGATTAATTTTTTCATCGCCATGGGTTACTGCCCTTGATAGACACTAGATGGCTTTCGTTGACGACATCGACGGTTGACGATGAAAAGTGACGAAAGAGGACCACTTCTAGATCTAGGTTGTCCACAGGTACGTTAAAGTGTTCCTTTTTCTCCCGATTCTGTTATGATGACGGTATACTGGTAATTATTGCGCATCTGGCCGCATCTGTCTCATGCATTTGATTGAAGGTCTATCTAGATGAAGCTCTCACAGTTGTAACTTCTTTTTCATCGTCGATCGCATCCGACGAAGGAAGGAGAACAACCGACAAGGAAATCGTGTCGAATATGTTCGCTAAACACACGATTTGGTTGCCCTAATGGAAAGCAACTACCGTTTGTATTCGGCCAAGTAACGTGGCTCTTAAACTTCTTCCTCAGCTGGTAATTTGTGATTCCTATGAAATGCATTATCGTCGTAATCTCCGTAATTTTGGTTTCATCGATTATCGTCGATAAAACACTGGAGACAACTCCGTGAAATGTAATTAGCTTCTACCTCACAGTTAATTCCCTTGGTTGTCTTAAAAAATTCAAGTGGATGCATGCAAAAGGCCAGCTGGTCTTTATTTTTTTAAAATAACAATAATAAAACACACACACGCACACAGCCTATATTATATTAGTTTGCCTATAAAAGAATAATTAAATACCCTCGTAAGAAGAATTGATTGGACAATATTTCTTGAGTTTTATTATTTTTAACTATTAAAGATGTGCTTAAACAGTAGGCCCTACCTATGATATCAATATTATTATTATTGTGATGGCTCATTGTTGTACTGTGTGTTTTTAGAGTTTTCATTTCAGAAGCTCTTGACGAGTTGTATCTTTTACGTTTCATGGTGGTTGTACTACCTTGCTGTTGTTATTTACACAAAATAACATAATTGCAAGCAAATAGGATATATAAGGAAATAGTCGTTTATTTTTCAGAAAATTTATTAGGTCGCTTTTTTGTTCTCTTTAACCCCTACGTGACTCAGGGTCAGGTCCTGCTTTAACAGGCCATTTTGGATCACCAGGGACACAGAGTAGCACTAAGCTTAACTCATTCGCTACGTATTTTTTTCGGCTGGTGGACAGATTTTTTTTCGGGAGGGCGAAAGAGATGATGACTAGTGGGCAGTTAAAAGGTCTTTGGGGCCACAAATTCAAATAAATATCAACATATTATATACCAACATTTTCAGTATGGTTTGTAGAATACATCTGTAATGTTTATTTATGTATTTTTTAACTTTGGTTCCTGTAATAGGGGATTATGCAACACAATTTTGATTGGATGCGTATAAAATTTGAAAATAAAAAATCAATAATCTTTGGTGAAACTCAAAAAATATGTTTGCACCTAGTGAATTGATACATCAAAATAACCATAAATGAATATAGAACTGGAAAATATTGAAAAGTTTGCAGTTATTTACATACATTCCATAATATTTGTACATTTGGATCATAACATCCCATCCGATATTGAAAAAAAAACAAAAACATTTTATAATCTTGAAAAACGATCACAAACAGAAAAAAACTTACTCATATCTTATATAGAATTATTCAGAATTGCATTTGGAATAAACCTATACATGTCTTGAGTGGCAATTTTTGTGTAATTTCATCAAAAAGTAGTTATTTTGGGGAGAAAAAAATATTTTGACAATTTAGATCTAGACCTAGATAAATCTAGATCTAGCACTCAAAAATATTGATTTCTCAATAACAGTGCATTGGCAATATGAGTCTAATCGTATCAATATTATAAAAAAGAGTCCTACATTTCTCTAGTGGGCAAAATAATGATAGATTTTGTTGTGTAAAATTACTAAGACTGGTGTCCGGGCTATTATTTTGGCATCGTGATTAAACAAAGTAGAATAAACCACGAAATCGCGTTTCAAAACTGAATCTAAATTTCCGATTTTCAGTGGAAATGCTTGAGCCGGAAGTCAACATTATATTATGACCTTTATTTTAACCTGAATATGTGGATTGGAATAGAATCTAAGCTAAAATTGAAGATCGGTTCTCGAGCCGCCGGGGGCGGTTTAGCGCACTGACGGCACATTAGCCGCACCGCCCCCCACGGCTTGGCGTAGCGAATGAGTTAATGGTCAGTTTCCTATAATTAGACCCGGTTTGCAAATATACTATTAAAACTAGATCTATATTTAAGGAAAAGGTTTCTTTTTATACAGAAAAAATATTCTCGAATGTGAATCTGCGATTAGAATTAGGAAATGCCTCTAATAGAAGCAGTAATCAGAATACAGCCTCCTATGGCAAAGGACGTTCATCATCGTGGTACTCATGCTTCGCATGGCATGATGAATGCTGTACGTTACAGCAGCATCAATTGGCTCGTGTGCCGTGTTAGAAAAAAGGATGAACAGCATACGTCATTATATAGGTCACGAAGGGGATCACCTTTGACTTTCACTTCCAAAGTTTTCTACAGTGGGCCCTTCTTATTATAACAGCCTCGGTACAGGATTTCGGCTATAACAAGCTTTTAAACACGGCGCACCGGCAGTGGAATTTTATTTGCCGCGGGGGTTCCCCGCTGGGCGCCTTATCACGTCGGGGTCACGGGGGTCAGCTCCCTGTCGCCGCTCTGTCTGGGCCGACTTAATTTTTGGTACTTTTCAATGTACATTTTAAGGTGTATCCTTGTATTTATGGTAATTCTCATTTAGTGCACCCAAAGCATGCATTTCTGCTCTTGAGATTAAAAAAAGAACGGACGTTGTAACTTGTCTGGTTATTTCATTAGATGCGCTGGAGTCGGCAGTGCTAAATTGTAAATTTTTTTGGACTACCGTGAATGAAAAAAAAAATATATAAAAAAAGACCTCGTCAAAATCTGTCGAACTTTTGGAACATGAACGACATAGCATTGGTGCAGATACTCAGAAAAGATGGTATCTGCGCATATAGTAGAAAGCTGTAATTTTGCAAATTTATCCATTGGGCACACAATTCGCTATGAAGTTAATTCCTCCAAATACAACTTTATGTGTCTAATATAATCCTGAATTTTCGCATATTTTCTCAAAAGTTTATAAAAGTCACCATGAAGTTTCTCTATGAAAAGTACAAATCAATTTCAGTGCTAGATTACATCTTCAATGTAGATCTAATACACAAACAGCATCTGTTACACTCCAGAAATGCCTTACTTTTCTTAAAACGCTAAGTCTAGGTTTTGTAAGTTGACTGAATAATAGGGATGACTTCTCGTAATTGGGTTATAAGAATAATTTCTAGCTTTCCAGGACACTGAATCAGCACCAGACTTTTCCAGTTTTATTTTTCGTTTCTATGACCATTTGCAATAACTGACAATGTGACTGATTTCTTTACATTCATAATTGTGTCCGCGCATATTTCCGACACAAAAACTAAGAATGAATGTGTTAGCTGTCATTATTTTTATTCCATACAAGAAGTTTATCTCTACCCATGTATTTACACGGTTTTGTGGGTTTTTTAATAGCTTAGATTCTATATTATGTCTTTTTAGTTGTATACAGGCTGCCACAGACACAGCATGATTCATGAAAGTAACTTTCTCTCTTTTAATAGTAAAATAAGAGCTAACGCTAATCGTTTTTAGTTAAAAAATGCAGATGTGCATGTTTCTTCACTTATAACTTGACTATTTCTACTCGTGCAGATTTAAGATTTCTCATGGTAAAAGACATGATATTCGTAGTCAGTTTAACACAGATTTTGGAGAGATCTGTCGTGCCTTTTAAAAATTAACAATCATTTATTCATAAGTTTGTAACTAAAATAGGACAAATTGGGTACTCTACAAACACTTGTCTAGAACAAAAACTAAGGCACAGAGATTAACCGTTCTGACGTTGAGCTTTTAGTACATCCGCGTAATGGTTTGCTATGTGGGATGGGGAAGAAGTTATATCTTTTTAAACATAGTCAAAAATGCGAACTTCCTGACCGACACCGGCAAAGTCTCTTCAGGGCTCATTAACCCCGTGACCCTGAGCCGGGGAGCTCCGGCAGGCTGCTGAGTCGCGCGAACTAAAAGCAACAGAATGGGGCGAAAAGTGACGCCGTGTAAAAAAAATCCCAGTGTCCGATCTCTTACATTTACAAGTTTTTTTTATAGCAGGCATTCAGATGTGATGCTTGGCTATAGCCTGTACTAGTGGTCCAACCATCAACTTTTAAAAATCCAAAAACAAATGGACAAGAAAGCCGGAAAACTCTTCATCACCTAAATGACCCACAGTAAGCCTAAGTTGTTTCTGTACAATTTGTTATATGATGTTTCATACTGTGTGTGCAAAGAGAGGATCGAGGGGGGAAAGCTGGACACACTTTGTTGTTGATGCAGATCCGATCAGTGGCTTAGTGTGAGAGCGGTCTTGCACATTTTCAGGTGGGGTGGTGAGACTTTTTACGACAATAAATAATTGAATGAAGAGTAGTCACAGGGCTCATGATGTACCGCAGATCAGTATGCATTACAAATACAGTCAAACCTGCCCTGACGGCCACCTCTATAAGACGGCCACCTTTATAAGACGGCCACCTGTATAAACGGCCACTTTCCATTTCCCCCCTTGCGTTTTTCCTATATAATTTAACTGTGTATAACGGGCACCTGTCCAACGCGGTCGCAGCCACCTTATTTTAACACACAACCCCTATCACACTAAGCAATAACACCTGTCTTAGATGGCCACCTTAGTGACTCCATTACGTTTTGTCATAAATTGTGCTTTGGCCCCTGGCGTTCTGGGCGAGCCGTCATAATTCAATCACCTGTCGTTGTTGTTAGGTAGTTCCTCCAACCGATCATGTTGCATAGGCCCCTCCCACTGTTGACCAATAGGGACCAATTATTTTCAGCTGCTGGAAAGGTAAGCGTGTGATAAACCATAAATCCCGCCCAGAACTCATACACAAATCGTAAATGAGATGAGTGGTCACTGTTTACCCAGTCTGTTACAAAGTAACAAAGGACGTCAACATGAACTTGTGACAGAAGCGCCGCTCGTTCTCCGAGTGGTGGCGACCCATATGTTTGTTTTAACATGGCACTCGGTCTGATACATTTCGTTTTATTGTCATCCTTGCGCAAAATCAGCAACAAAATAAAAATTACAAACAAAATACAAACCAATTACAACAACAACAAAAACTACAACAATGCTGCTACTTTCGATTGGGACCTCAGATGGGAATGGTTTGTTTTCTTCATCTTGATCAGTCCTGCCTAAGACGGCCACTTGTCTTACACGGCCACTTTTCTCCTTGAAAATGGGTGGCCGTCTTACACAGGTTTGACTGTAGTTGTAAAGTTCACGGAGCATACGGTAGACTCTGTAGAGCACGAATATGTGATTTGGTATTATTATTATTATTACCCGCGCATCTCAGATTATATATCTAGTCGACCTCCTTAAGACAAAGATACTAGAAAAAAAATAGAGAGATGAGGAGAGAAAAAAAATAACTGGAAAAAAAGGTAGCAGTAACTGATATTGATAGTGGGTAATCTATCATATATAGTGACCTCATTGGTTAATCATACAAAATGTGATCCCTGCCTGCAACAGAGTTCGGCTATGACAGGGACATCATGTTGGTCCCGGTGGTCCTAATATAGTTGGGTACCATTGTATACCAGTGTTCATTACCGGTATTGCATGACTAAAATTCCGGTAGAAACATTATAACAGAATCATATATCTAATTGTTCATATCCTTTCCAGCATGTGAAGCCTCGTGCCTTGGCGACCCCCTGAATACTTGTATGTCTTACCTTATTTGAAGCAAATTTTGAAAACCAGAAATGCGGCTGAATGGAGGAAAATCCAGTCGTCATAGATTTCAGTTTAAGTAGACTCAACTTTATTTCCAAAGAGCTTTGGACTTTTCTTTGTAATAATTGATGTTGCAACATGATTTATAGTATTGCCATTGTTTTCTGTCATATAGTAACAGTAAGAAAAGGCTTGACTTTCATTTCTTTGGTCATAATAAACTGAAGCTGATTAAATTTTATTGTTATTACAGTATAGGAAAGTTAGCTTCATGATCCTTATTTGTATTTTTTAGTTTGTTTTTTGGTCTTCCTCAGGGTGACTTATCTGACTGCTTTTCTCTCACTCATCAAGAGATCAAGAAAGGATTCTTCCTTTGTGTACAGCGTTAGTGTACTGTACATGACTTATGGCAGACACTTCTGAGGCCGTGGAGTCTGATCTAAGATCTCCAAAACTTGAGGAAAATCAGTTGATGGACTTTGATTCAGGGTCCATGAATTATTTAAGACCTGACGACCAGGTTGTTAACATGAACGAGAACAGTGGGGCTTCAAGGAGGGGCCGATTTTCATCCCGTGACCGTCCTTTTGCTTGTCATGTCTGCAATAAAAGGTTCACCCAGAAAGCTCATCTGATCATTCATAAAAGGATTCACACGGGGGAGAAGCCATACGCATGTCACATCTGCCATAAAAGATTCGCCCAGTCCTCACACCTCACCGTACATAAGCGAGTCCATACAGGGGAGAAACCTTTCTTCTGTAACTTTTGCGGCATGGGGTTTTGTCGAAGGCCTCGGCTGGAGGCTCATATCTTACAGCATGTTGTGAAAGAGGGAAAGCAGCTTCCGGCTAATTTTAAAGGAGATATGATGGGTGGCCTGTCTATGGTAGGGTTAAGCAGCAGTACACCAGTTTCCATGGGAGCCTCTAGTCAGGATTCTTTAAGCTCTTCTTCAGAGATGCTTGACTTCAAAAGCAAAGACCTCCCACTGACTACCATTAAGACTGAGCCAATAGATGTACGTTCCAATAATAGTGAGACTTTGGATGGCACCGCAGATGAATGCAAAGATGGTAATCAAATAAGGTCCCCGGGGAAAGATAACCTGGCTAGACTTGCTAATTCCGGTGCTTCTGGTGAGTGTGGAATTGGGGACATAGAGTCTTCTTCTGAAACAAAAGGAGCTGGTATTCAAAAGGGAGGCACTACTGGCTTGGGTTTGTCCATGGATGAGTTGGATAAACTAGCCTCAAGTTTGACTGAAATGACCGAATCCCAAAAACAGGCTTTGAGTCAGAGTTTGCTGGCTCAGAAAAACCAGCTGAACTGTATGATGAACAATAACAACTCAATGATGTCGATGAACCCTGGTTTAAGCATGTCTGGTCTGGTTCGCACCAATAGCCGAGTGTCTCTCATTGACTTCACTGCAGAGGATATACTCCGACATCTCATGTCTCGTGATGATGTAAAGTCCTGTGATTTTTGCTGTATTGTCTTCCATGACCCTGCGATGTATTACCTCCACCGCAGTATGCATGACAAGATGGATGTTCGCTGCTGCAACTTGTGTGGAAAGCTGATGTCAGATAAATATGACTTTACTGCTCATTTTCTGAGTGAACACAAGTGAGCTTTCTATCAGATTACTTTCATTTTTTCTTGCTCTATGGTGATGTGTAGTCTGTGTGTATATTCAACTGAGTGTGATCTTTGGCCTTTTAAATTATCAAGTACGTATTTTTGTTGTACTTGTGGTAGGGCTCTTCACAGTTGTATACAGAAGACACGAGTTTCATTCCTGAATTGGAAGGTTTTTGAATACATTGATCTCCGTTTAAAAAAAAATGTAGTGCCAGTTTTCCTAAAAGTAAAGCCTTCTTTAATCTGTAAGAAAATTTTTTTCCTAATTTGTTTGCCTGAGACCAGTTCTAGAAATAAAAACCTGTCGGCGTCCTGAACTAAGGGCAATAAACTTTTTAAAGTAGGGACCTTCTTTGCCATACTTTTCACAAACAAAGAAGACCTTTTCATAGCTGTACCAATGCATGAACTTATTAAAATGTTATGAAGTTCAACAAAAGTTTTTGCCACTTGCTTGAAGTTTAGAAAATGAAGGTGAAAAGGGAAAAATAATTTAATTAAGGTCTCTGTTGCATTTTTCCGGAAGCATTTTGAGGACCAAATAAATATATATATATATGTGTATATATATATACATATATATATATCATATATATATATATATATATATATATATATATATATATATATATATATATATATATATATATATATATATATATATATATATATAATGCAGCTTTTAAAAAAGAGTAGAAAGCTAGGCTACTCCCAGGCTGTGATTCACTTTATACTCCTTTTCAAAATACATGATGTTTGCTTGTTATAATTCTTTTGTGTTTGCAAAATCAGAGAGGCTTATCACTGACATAAAAGATGCCTCATGGTGCACTGTGAAGCGTCTGTCAGTTTGAAAATATAAATTATTTTTATATGATGAATAGTTTGGTCCATTGCCCTTACCTTCTGTACTTGGAGTTGGAGCTGTCACTATGTTTTTTATGATGCCAGTGAGGCATGTTGTGGTAAATAAGATCTGCTAAAAGATTGAGCAGATTGACTTTACATGATAGCAAACATACTGGTTGTAGTTGTACATCATAAAGTAAGTAATGTGTATTATGAATTCTGAATTCACTGAACTTCATGAAGTTTCAGTTTCGGTCTTGGTACATGTACAAAATGTTTAATTTTGTGAAAGAAATGATTTTTTTTCTGATTTTTAGTCTGCCTGCTTAGTAGCAATAGTAATAATTTAATAGGCCTACATGGATATGTTGATATTTGACTATTGTATGTCATGTGACATTGTGATATATATTATTTTATTATGTAAAATGTGTGGTACTTCTTTGATGTCTGTTGTGGTTTCTGTTTTGCTTTTCATACTTCATCATGATGTAAAGGCTGTGCAAAAGAAATGTACCCATGGGTGGTTCGAAGGTGCTGCTCATACTTGTATTTGTATGTCCCTCTTCCCCAAGTTAATTTAGGCACTGCTCCGTCACAACCGACCACATTGTTTTAACAGTATTGTTTTCATTTTTTTTTTCCACTGCAATGATGGCGCTTGTGCCTTATTATGATGTGAATGTAGGCCCAGAAAAGCTGGTCATGTCACAGTGAGTGCAAAGAAATTATCCATTTTCTTCCTTATGCTTTGTCTCTTCAGGTGTAGTTTTGCTTCGGTCAGGGTACAGTCGGGCATGGATATAACCCAAGCACGTTGGGAATTGACAATTGTGTTCGACACATCCATTATTTGGGTAAACGGGGTATAGCAAAAACATTAAAGAAATCAGTCTCGGAATGGCAAATTGTACGAGCTATCCATAATTTTGAATTTTTCGTGTTCCTGTTATCTGTGCCTGACTGTCTGTTTTCATTTTTGAACTGGTTTTGACTTCTTTATTTCATTGGCAGCATTCTCCTGCCATCTATTCCCTCGTTTTAAAGTTGATTTCTGTCGTAAAGGTCAGTGTCATGTCCTGCCTTCTGGTATTTTTATTCATTGTTCATGTGTACCTTAGTGCCTGTGGTCCATGGTTGGAGCACTAGTGTCGCTAGTAGGTACTACTTCTTCTCTCCCCTATGGATGTTTATGTCTGTCAAGTGTGCTTTTTACTCCCTAGCAGTAAATTACATGTACTGTTATAGTGCTTTTCAAGCCCAGAATTTATTTTATAAATGATTTACAATATAGTGAGATCTTTACATAAGCCCTTTACCTGCTTGCTACAGTTGCTATGGAAATGGTGGCCATTTTGAAAATACAACGTGAAATAAATTGCAAAGGCTTTTTTATTTACCAAATTATTGGGCCGTTTTGAAATAGAATCTAGTATGTTTAATAAAAAAAAACAAACTGTTTTTAGAATTTTCCTGACATAGGTAGTATAGTGTTGTGTTGATAATATCGGACAATGGACAGAACTGAATCCAGACAGACATCAATTTTTACATTCGGAACTGGAAGTGTTTATTACTGCAAGATTCGTATTCGTTGTTTTACAAAACTCGAATACGGTAAAGTGTATTTTGTCAAAGGATATTTAGGCATTCTATGTTTTTACACGAGAAAGCCACAATCCTCCCGTCTTAAAAAAAAGATGATGGACAATATTTGTGTGTGTGCATCCATCAGAGATGGCCTGTGAAAATTAAACTTTACATTGCTAGATAGGGGACTCTGCAGTGATATCCGTAGTCTCCTGAATGAATGTTCATATTCATAGTCTCTGTTTGACTTGTCGTTATCTATCTGAAGAGTATGATGAGTATTTGTGAACATTTATGGATCAAAGAAAATGAAAATGTAGAATGGTATCTCTGCTCTAAGAGCTTATAGTTATCTTTGGTGTAAAATGCATGAGTTTTGTTTGCGTGTTAGTGGCCGCTGCACAACCCAAAATGACATTGACTACTCAGTGTATCTGGCGGGTAAACAGACTACGCGACCACTTCTGGTTTTACATGAAATGTTGGATGTGGATCAAGGGGCGAGCTCAAGGGTGAGGACTGCTGCTCAACCCGACTGTCAACCACAGAGGAAGGCGCGGTTTGTTGAGAGGGCAATGATGCTACTGGTGGCATACCAACCTTGAAAGGTGGTGATAGCACAGATGGTATTGGTGATGTTGTCTGTGGAATAGGCTTTGAGGTGTGGACTATCTTGCTGCTGTGTCTGCGCTAGAGTATGCCAGGTGCCATTTCCACCTCATGACTGTGTGTTCCTGTGTTGGAGTGGATTGTGCCATGTTGCCATCTTTGTTGACCACGGTAGTCCCGAACAAGGACCTTGTCACCAATGTCGAAGGTTCGGAGCCTGGCACTTTAGTGTGACACTGTTTGGTCATACTGGTGTTGGTGACTGTGCTCCTAACATCATCAGGATTGCTGGCGTTTCCCCGGTTGTTGAGTGGGGCGCGTTCTTGTAAGACAGGAGGAATATGCTGAGTTTAGTAGTCAAGCTTGCCTTATCCTGTTTGGCGTTCTTCATGGCCATCTTGAATGTCTGCACCTTTCTTTTCGCCAGCCTGTTTGTTGCTGGGTGATACGGTGACGATCTGGTGTGTCTGATGCTGTTGCTGCGAATGAATGCTTTAAATTCCTTGAAGGTGAACTGGGGTCCGTTGTCTGAGACCATAATTTATATGTGAGGCATTGTGGTGGAATCAGGCTCTCGTCAAAATAATCAAAGTGAAGAAACCTGCATTTTTCCGCAGTTTTGTGAATTTTTTATCAAATTTTGTTTTTTTGGCTCAACACCTTTCATGCCCTTTGAAGAACTCCTTTCTGTGTGGATTTTTCCGAAAAACGTTGATTAAAGGCATAAAAAATGTAAATTTTCAGTTACCACGTACTCTTAAGCTAAGGAAATAACTAATCTGTGGCGGGCATTTTCTCATTAATTTTACCTCTGAAAACAGGTGACCCCCACCTCCTTCTTTCGTAAATATCTCGACTTGTATTCAAGATAAATGGATATTTTTTTCATCCGAATAAAGACAAGTGAACAAGCTTTAAGATGGTACCAATAACTCTATATGCCCAAAAATTGACAAGAGCCTGATTCCACCATGCTGCCTGACATATGTCCTCTTAGCCATTGTCTGCCTAAGATTGGGTTGCTGCCTTTCTTCAAGACATAGAGATCCATTGTTCCTTGCTTTTCCTTCATCTGGGCCTGAACTTTCACTTTCGCCAATGGTGTGACTATCTCTCCAGTGTACGTCTTGAGATGTATCTGTGACTTCTCCAAGACACAGTTTTTCCTGAAGATAGAATGATAGTCTTTCAGAGTCATGATTGACAGCGCTGACCCTGTGTCCAACTCCATTTTGGTAGAGACGTCATCAATGGTCACATGAACCATCATTTTCTCTGAGCCACAGCTCACCTGATTCAGCTCTATGATGGATAATTCCTCTTCCATCTGATGATGGATGGTAGCTGGTCTCTTGTCTTGACGTCTTTTGGGGGAGTGGGTCTTTTTGTGGGTGGAGGATAATCTTAATACTTTCACGATGTGCCCTTTCTTTCGGCACTTGTTACATACAGCATTCCGAAAGTAGCAGTCCGATCGCTGCTGGTTCCTTTTTCCACAGGATGGGCATGGTGTGTGTGAAGATGAAGGCTTTGAATTGGAAAATGGGGCCACTTTGTGGCTTGGATGATTAGCACTTGATACTGAAGGCTGGTGGATTTCTTCTGCATCACTTGTGGCCGTCTCCATGGCAAAAGCTATTGATGACGCTGTCTCAAATGTGAGTGTGGCTTCCTGTCGCAGGCGCTTTTTGATGCTGCTGTCCTTGAGTTCACATACCAGTCTGTCTCTAAGAGATGTGAGGAGGTTGTCCCCAAAGTTGCAGTGTTCCGACAGCTGTTTTATAGCTGCGATGTATTGTGCGACGGATTGTGAATCTTGTTGCTGTCTTTGGTGGAATTTGTAGTGTTCTACTATCTCGAGAGGCTTGGGGTTGTAATGATCCTCAAGAGCCTCGCACAGTTCAGCATAGGAGCGCGTTGATGGGAGCAGCGGTGCTGTGAGTGAGCGCAGTGTCCCATACACTTTTGTTCCTATGCTTGAGAGGAGAACGGCAGTTTGCTTAGCTTCTGCACTGTCATTGGCAACAAAATAGCAGTCTAGACGCTCTTTGTAGTTGTTGAAGGTCTCCTCAGCTTCATTGAAGTGGTCAGGCTTGGGCATTTTGACTAGAAAGGCTTGGCTCCGAAAACTAGCGTGGCTGCGATGTCAAGACTGTTAGAGCCTACCTTGCTGAACCAACGATTTATGGTTTATCGAGGTTCAGCCTGGAGAAATAGTCTGGAATTGCCGATGGTGTTCTCTAGATCTAGATTTTACTAGTGATTGGAGTTTTGCCTCGTGGCCAGTTGTAGTGTCGTGTGGATAATATCGGACAATGGACTGATCTGAGTCAAAACAGACATAAATGTTTACATAAGGAACCGGAAGTGTTTATTACTGCAAGATTCGTATTCGTTGTTTTACAATACTCGAATACGGTAAAGTGTATTTAGCCAAAGGA